TGTAAAAGTTGCCATCTAGTAATTAATGTAAATATTTTTTCGAAAGCATATTGTGGTTCCCAACATACATATTTGTTCATAAAATCCTGATGAGAAAACATAGTAAATGTAGACAGATTATTTAATATATTATGACATACGTAATGGCTGCGTTCAGCGAACTCAACAGTTGAGTGAGCGCTCGCTGCTATTGATGTACTCTTCCAAATCTAAAATGCTGATAAGATGATCTAAAAGAATACATCAATAACAGCGAGCACTCACTCAACTATTAAGTCCGCTAAACACAGCTTATAATAAACTTACAATAAATTGATTGACTTGAGGTTGCTCCCATTTTATATCTAATTTAGTTAGAATTGAATCCTTCCTGATAAGAAATTCATCTATTAATTCCTGATTTGGAAAATTTTCATCATGAAGCGCCTTCTTTCTTAGTGATATTTCATTTAATATCAATGCTCTTTTTTCCCTATAAAAAATAAATTTCTCATATAAAAAAAATGATAAATATTATTATTTCTAAATACATGTAATAAAAATATAGTAATTTTTACCTAAAATCATCATTACACTTCCTAATAGTTCCGCAATCAACACAACCTGATTTTGTATGTTTTTGCAGTTTTCCTGGATGACCACATGATATACATAAATTTAGATTTGACAAATCAAATTCAGCTTTGTTCAAACTTGTATCAGTTCTCCAATCTTGAATTCTGAAGAAAAAGAAAAAAGAGAAACAGTTCAATTGTACAGTTCAGTTACAAAATTTGATAAATTTGATGAAGCATGCAATATACTCAAACCTTTGTAAAACATCTTCCTCTTTCACAGTCTTAAAAAATTTTAAAGCAGCCTCCTTTCCGACACCACTCACTCCCTCATCATAATCACAACCACATAGCAAGGCTAATGCTATCATTTTATTTCGTCCTATAGTTAACGTTTTCTCTATTTTTTCCATACTATAGACATCCACAGAGCCACCTGCAGCTCCACAATTTCCTTGGGTACTCATACAAAAGTTTCTGTATACTACTTTTGCACCATATAAGAAACAGTCACTGTCTTGACTTATACATCCATCTACAAGCTAAAAGTACATTTTTCCTTTAAGGCAATGAATAATTTATTAAAAAAAATTAGATACATGAACATACTCCATCCTCATTTAAATAAGCACACATAGCTTCTGCTTCGCCACAGCTCTGTACACAAGCAATACCCATGCATCTTAATAATTCTTTACACTCGTTTAAAACTCGTTTAAACTGGGTTCTTCCTCCTCTCTTAGCAGTTTTTCTTTCCTGAAATCCATTACGAACATCGTTCCTTCGTGCAATAGTTTTATGTTTTAGGATAGGTGGCTTTCCTTCCAATACAAATACTGGAGATATTCCATGCACAAGAAGGAATGCCACGGAAATACAAATTCCTGCGATAAATAATTCAAATCACATAAATGATAATTTATCAACAAAATAATATAATTTTATTGTTAAATTAATAATTTGTTACACATAAACTTTAAAAACGTGTATTGTATGTTAATACATTATCCGCTGTATTGATTCACTATACAGGGTGTTTCCAAATTAAATCGCAAAACTTCGGGAGCGTGTAGAGGAGTAAAAAACTAAGAAAAAAAGTCCTATAGACATATGCTCGTTTTTGCTCCGTTTCAGAGAAATCGAAAAAAAATGTTTACATTTCTTGCCATATCTAGCACCGACATATTTGATTACATTTTCCACTTTCTGTTATGAATTTGTCAGTCGCTCTTTGAAAGCCTTTAACAGTAGATGAATTTTGTCTTTTGCAATATGCCGCGTACGTATTCTAAT